GGGGGCCCCTCAGCCCCGGCCGGGCTGCCCGCGCCCGGGCCCGGCCCCGCCACCTGCCCCGGCCCCGCCACCTGCCCGGGCCTCGCCACCTGCCCGGGCCCCGCCACCTGCCCCTCGCGGCACTCGCGAACACGGGGCGGCATCGCGGCCGCTGCGGGGCCGGTGCTGCGGGAAGCGCTACAGTGGGTGGGCAGAGGGGACGGCGGAGGCGACAGGAGGAGAGCGCTGCTTCTGCGGTGTCCCGCTGCTCACTGGGGTCCTGCTGCAGCCCCGAGAGCAGCGAGTCAGCGCAGACACTCCTTGACGGCGTCCCAGGAGGAGCCAGCAGTACTTTTCTGCACCTGTCAAGGGGCGTACAAACACGAGCTTCTCACGGGACTAGGTCTGGCAAAATCCTTAAACTGAGGGTTGAAGTGTCACCTCCCGGGCACGGCCAGGTAGAGCTGTGTGCTGTCCACAGAGCGGACGCCGAGTCGTTGTGGGCTGGGTGGGCTGTGTATCAGTAGCAAAGTGCTCACTATGCAGGGCTCAACACTGAGTGGCCGCCTTCAGTCTTCACCCATCAGAGGGGATTTATGGCCTGCAGATTCCTTCTTGCTGAACTAGATGGAGACCTGTCCCAGAAGTATGGAGCTTAAATGTAGTTTGGTGTCTCTGCTCAGAACTTTGCCACTCCATTGTTGCAGGGTTACCAGCTTGCAGCATGCACTTCATTTTCCCAGCAGCTTCCTTAGAAAGGGACATGTCCAAAACGCTGAACACTGCCCTCTGCTATGCAAATGTGGCTCATGCAACCCTGAGCCATTGCTGCAGCTGCCACTCACCCAGGTGCTGTCACACGGACTTTGGGACATGCAACCCAGTGTGCCTGTGGGTCCTTAGTGTCCTGTTCCTGCCTGTGGCCAATGCCAGGTCTCTGGCTGCAGATTCCCAAAGACCCCAAGGACCAGCAATTCCCCCAGATGCAGTTGGTGCTCCAAAAGTGACTGTGCATGTCTGTACCTCCCATCTATCTTCTGCAAAATGGAAAAATGAATGCTGAGCCTCCTCATGGGAGGCTAGGCAGCTTGCTTAATTTTTATGTAACTTATTACAAGAGCCCAAAATAAAAGGCAAAATTAAAATCCCATTTTATTTTTTTCTTTATCTGGTTCTGAATAGGTTGGTTTAGAGCATCTAATCAGATGGCTGGTTTGTAGTGCCCTGGTGCTTCGTCTTTAGTTGGAGTCAGCAACAAGGTTATTCAGCATTTTAACATCTGAGGGGAAACGTATGCTCCAGCCCTCATAAAGCCATGTTCATCCACTAGCCTGATTAATAACTTCTTTGGCATTCCACGGTGCTCAGTCCAGGGAAAATTACTGAGTAGATATTTACTATATTGTCAAACTTATTTTGAACTATTCATGTGGGCCTCTCACCACCTCTCTGTGCAGTTATGCAATCTTGAAAACCACAAATTAAAGCCTCTAAAGAGACGCAATAACAAATTGTGGTAGCTCTGAAGAAACCCCCAGGAAAAAAAAATTGATCTCTCAAAGTGACCTCTTCAAACTATGCTGACAGACAAAAGCCTAAGTAAACAGATGGGTTTGCAACCCTGAATATCAACAAACTTTGCTCTACTAGATCAGTGAGAGATATTCCGAGGTAAAAATGCTATCTGGTCTTATATTCTCTATTTGCAGCTGGATAGGGACTTTGGAAATGACTATTTCTCCATTCCCTGTAAACAGCTTTGCTTTGTTTTTATAGCTTGAAGGAAACCTTTGAATTGGGGTTTCCTATTCAGCTATTCAGAGCAGAGAACTGAAGCATTTTACTTCACTTGCCCAGTGCTACACTTTCCTGCCACAGGAAAATTCAAGCATGTCCCGAGGCCACTGTTTCCTAGTGAAATGAAGGGTGGCTCTGCATGGCCCTACAAGCCCTGCTCTGACGGGCTCAGCCGAGGTGCAATGCCCATGTGTGAACTCCGTGGGAAAGGGTGGAATTCCTTCTGCAGCCCCCTTGGGTCCTTGGAAGGTTTGAAGTGACGTCTTGCTGTTGTTCTCACGTCTGTGTTAAGCTGGATGGTTCTCAAATCCTGTGTTTTAGCTCTGTTAAACCCCCTTTCTACTTCCCAAAGGCTGTACCTCCCAGTTGGAACTTGGGTTATTTTTAGGTGTGTGAAGGTAGTCAGTCTTTCTAGGAATCCATATCACTGATATTAATAGTGTGGGAACTTATGTCTTCCTGTGTACTTCCTGAAATCCTATGAGGATTTCATAGAATATATCCTAAAATATGGGTTTTACAGTGGCACATCTGGTTATGGGTGGTTTCCACTCTTCTGCATGTGGTCTGTGGTTCAGCAGTCACTAACTTAAAAATACATAAGTTTGTGTGTGTGTGTCCTCGCACAAGTGCACATACATGGTTCACATTATTTCCTTTTTTCTGAGAACTTTATAGCTGTAGTTTTTCTTCATTTGATAAATGTAATTTATAACTCTTTTAAAGCTCTTTTCATAAACAGGAGCTACAAAATAAATTCAGCAACTTATAAAAGCAAAACCTCAAAAAGCTGAAATTAAAACCATCAGGTCTGCTTTGATGTAGAGGATGTGTTGAAATGGTATATTTACATGTTTATTTTCTATTTTATAATTTCCTGCACAAAGGCACGCAATACTTTCTGACAGGAACTGAAATATATTTTGGAAGAGTTCCACTTCTCATGTCATCTAAGCTCCATGTCATTAATGTGGTAGAACTCTATGTGAAGGAAATGAAAAAGACTTTCCTGAAATAAGAGCTGGACAATTTCTACTCATCTAAGTGGCTACCCGGTGACTGAAGAGAGGTGCAGTGGTGCAGTGGTAAATTACTCACCTGTTTGGTATCTGTAAGAAGTGGGTGAATGTTATATTGCTGAAATTGGTGGTGGATAATCTCCATTTGCAGTTGTTTGCTTGTAGCAACACCTCTGTAAAAGTTACCATATGCTGGAGACTGTGCATGGGTCTGGCTGTCTCTGGAACTGCTTCTCACCTAATCTTTCACCACTTTTAGATGACACCTGTTCTTTTTTTCCTCCCTTCTGTCTTATTTTTTTAAAATAAAATTTATATGACTCAGAAAAAAACCACACAAATCCAAGCACCTAGGCAATGCCTCCAGTAGGTTTGAGCATGGAAAGAAAAAAAGTGCTGTGCTGCAGATTTGTCTGTAAAATCACTAGCAGAGCCATGGCCTTGAATCTCCTACCCACCCTGTCACTCTTACCTTTAAATACATGTCAAGCGTGTCATACATGACAAAGAGGTTCCCTGCATTGAAACTTTCAAAATTTTTTCCCCTCACTTTTTGCTGACTCTGGGTTGAACTGGGAAAGTGTTGTTTAGCTTGGGAGAACTAATTCTACAGCCAAAGGTCTGTAAGTGCAATGTTCACCCTGAGTAAGTGGAAACCAACATTTTCTTGAGCCTGTAAGCCACCTATCAATGCTTTGCCATGTGACCAAGTGTACAGTTCTCCTGATGTGTTAGTGGGTTTCTGCATCTGCCTCTCCATGGCTGCTCCCTAGTGCCCCTGTTGTGCCAGCAGCCTGTCAGGCTGGGGTAGAAACTAGATAACAGGTTCTGGATTAAAGAATTCTGGTGTTAAATCCAGATGGTTTTGGTGAGTGGGTTCACTTTAGAATCCCTAAAATAGTATCTAATGGCATAACTTTCAGTGCAACTTGAATGACAAAAGTGCAACTTTCCATCCCATTAATCCTTTCTCACTTCTGCTTGCACTGTGTCTTGTGTGATCCTGAAATGATCTGCAGCGTCGTGCTTTGGGGACTAAGGAGGCAGAAGAGCTTGGCTTTAGAAAAAAATAATTATTTCCTGACAGGTTAGTTCCCTAAACTTGTTTATGATGAAAGGAAATGATCATCTGTGGTATGGGGGAAGCACAAGCAGAATGGCCACAGCTTGTGGCCAAAGCAGGGCTAACAGGACCATCCCATCAGACTGACTTAGCAATATTATCCATCCACCCCTGGATGGAATTGCATAGGGAGAATGTGTTAAGAGCAGAAACAAGTTTCACTGCAGATGGGGATAGTCTCCCTTTTGTGTAGTGGAAGAGCGTAGGAGATGTACAGGAGGTGACAGTGGCTGTCACAAGGTCCTGCTGGGCAATGTAGCTGGGTAGGGTGCACAGATGGCTTCTGGGGGGAGCCAGCAATGTCAGCTTCAACAGCAGCTGCTAACACACCTCCATCGGTGGGAAATCAGATTATGCAGAGCCCCCTGTGCCAAGCACATCCCTGCTACTCATCAAGCAAACTGCTCAAAAGCTTCTGTGGCTCAAGAGCTCAGGCTGGACCCCCTGGTAATACAGTACAATTACAACCATCTGAATGGTTTGCTC